GGAATCTGTGATTTTGATTTAGGGTTAAATGATGAGGAGGGGCAAGCCAAGCGATCTGGAATCTTGTAATGGTCCCCCTTTAGTACATCTACATTTTAGTGTACTGTAAACATAGTGCTATACTATACAATATACATTATACATACATAATACATATATGTATAAAAACTGTATTGACACCGATAACGAGATTACCTCTTAGCGTGGAAGCAAATACTGAACATATCGTAGTCGTCCAAAGTAAAGGCAAACTTCCCTGTATCTGCTTTTTCCTTCGAGAAAAGTGTTTGGTCTTTCGTGTCTTTTACCTGTCAGTTTAATTAGGATCATCAAAATGAATGTTACACAAAATTCCATATGAATGAAAGCATTTTGAACAAAATTCCCGGTCATTCTTGTTTACAAGGATATATTTTCATTGGGATTTGGGAGTAAGATATGGGTGTAAAAGGTGAGATAAAAGCTGCGGAAAGTGCGGCCTACACGTGTAAAAACTAATCAATTAATTAACTAATTATCTCACCAGAATATCAACTTCATGGCTCTCAGGAATGCTCTCTACAGTAAATTCCCCAACTACCAAAACGTCCTTGTGTGCTTCTTCTTTTATACATCGCGAACCTGAAAATATCGTTAATCATTGCACTGTAATTAGCATCATGTACTGATGTACAATGTACATTGAAAGTAAGGTTTTTTTTTTACATATTTGATAGATTTACAGATCTGGCTTGACAAAAATTTTCAGAAAAAATCATGTTCGCGGGAAGCAAAAATCCGATGAGTTTTTTAGGGGGGAGGGGTAGGGGGTTGAGGGGGGTTGGGAAGGGTTGTCACATGACGAGAAATTTTTTGCAAAAATTAAACAATCTTTATTTGTTGAATCTATTATTCACCCCTGTTGCCTAAAGTGGTGGGTCTGCACTTGAGAAGAGTGGGTCTGGCCGCTAGAATGGTGGGTCTGCAATCTAGAAGTGGGTCTGGCAACCAGAATGGTGGGTTTACAATCTAGAAGTGGGTCTGGCAACCATAATGATGGGTCTGTACCCTTTAAGAATGGTCTGACAACCAGAGTGGTGGGTGTGCACTTGACAATAGTGGGTCTGGCAGCTAGAATGGTGGGTATGCAATCTAGAAGTGGGTCTGTTAACCAGAATTGTGGGTATACACCCTTGAAGAGTGGGTCTGACAACCAGAATGGTGGGTCTGCACTTGAGAAGAGTGGTTCTTGCGGCTGGAATGGTGGGTCTGCAATCTAGAAGTTGGTCTAGCAACCAGAATTGTGGATCTGCATTCGAGAATAATGAGTCTTCACTCTAGAAGAGTGGGTCTGACAACCAGAATGGTGGGTCTGCACTTGAGAAGAGTGGGTCTGGCGGCTGGAATGGTGGGTCTGCAATCTAGAAGTTGGTCTAGCAACAGAATTTTGGATCTGCATTCGAGAATAATGAGTCTTCACTCTAGAAGAGTGGGTCCGGCAACCAGAGTGGTGGGTCTGCACTTGAGAAGCGTGGGTCTGGCCACTAAATGGTTAGTCTGCACCCTTTAAGAGTGGGTCTGACAACCAGAGTGGTGGGTCTGGACTTAAGAAGAGTGGGTCTGGAAGCTGGAATGGTGGGTCTGCATTCTAGAAGTTGGTCTGGCAACCAGAATGGTGGGTGTACGTACACCCTTGAAGAGTGGGTCTGACAACCCGAGTGGTAGATCTGCACTTGAGAAGAGTGGGTCTGGCAGCTGGAATGGTGGGTCTGCAATCTATAAGTGAGTCTGGCAGCTAGAATTTAGTGGGTCTGAAATCTAGAAGTGGGTCTTGCAACATGAATGTGGGTCTGCACCCTTGAAGAGTGGGTCTGGCAATCAGAATGGTACGTCTACACTCTAGAAGAGTGGGTCTGGCAACCAGAATGGTGGATTTTCGCCCTAGAAGGGTGAGTCTGGAAACCAGAAAGGTGGGTCTACAATCTGGAATAGTGGGTCTGGCAACCAGAATTGCGGGTCTGCATTCTAGAATAGTGGATCTTCACTCTAGAAGAGTGGGCCTGGCAACCAGAATGGTAAGTCCACACTCTGTGAACCAGATTTGGGGGTCTATAAACTAGAATAAAGGAGATATGGCTACCAGAATTGTGGGTTTGGACAACCCGAATGGTGGGTCTTCACTCTAGAATAATAGGTCTGGTGGGTCTACACTTTAAAAGAGTGGGTCTGGCAACTAGATTGGTGTGTCTGCAATCTATAAGAGTGGGTCTGGCAACCAGAATAGTGGGTCTGCAATCAAGGGAATCAAGATGAGTGAGTCTGGCTATCAGAATGGTGGGTCTGCACCTTAGGGTTGTGGGTCTGGAGACAAGAATGATGGGTCAGAATTCTTGAATAGTGGGTCTTCACTCTAGCTGAGAGTGGGTCTGGCAACAAGAATGGTGGGTAAGAATTCTAGAATAGTGGGTCTTCACTCTAGAAGAGTGGGTCTGGCAACCAGAATGGTAAGTCTACACTCTGTCAAGTGTCAACCAGAATTGGGGGTCTAAACTAGATTATAGGATATATGGCAACCAGAATTGTGCGTCTGGAGTCTAGAGTCTAGAATAGTGGGTCCGGCAACCCGAAAGGTGGGTCTTCACTCAAAAATAGTGGGTCTGGCAATCGGAATGGTGCGTCTACACTCTAGAAGAGTGGGGCTGGCAACCAGAATGGTAGGTCTTCGCCTTAGAAGAGTGGGTCTGGCAACCAGAATGGTGGGTCTGCATTTTAGAATAGTGGGTCTTGACTCTATACCTACTAGAAGAGTGGGTCTCCTCTCTAGAAGAGTGAATCTGGCAACCAGAATGGTAATCCTTCACTCTGTCAACCAGAATTGGGGGTCTATGAACTAGAATATAGGAGATATGACAACCAGAATTGTGGGTCTGGACTCTAGAATAGTGGGTCTGGCAACCAAGATGTTGAGTCTGCACTCTAATAGAGTGGGTCTGGCAACTAGAATGCAGACACGTAGCCAAGGGGAAGACCCCCGGAAAAAAATTGAACCCCAAAAAAATAAGCCCTCTAGTCGCCTGGTAAGTGGGCTGTGTTTATGACTGTTTGATTAAACGACACGACAGGCAATCGACTTTAGCATTTCGTAAATTATTCCCAAATCCCACTATACAATATAATGTACTTATTCAATTCAATGTGACAAGTACTGAGTTCCCCCTTAGCCCCCAACTTTGTATTATTGTGATGTCTGAAATTACAAATTTCTTTAATGCCAAATGTCGTCTGAAACACCCTATTTCTCAAAAATTTTCCGGGGGCTGCACCCCCAACTTTGTATTATCGCCGTCCTACAAATTTCTTTAATGCCTAATGTCGTCTAAAACAAATAATTTCTAAAAATTTTCTTGGGGGCTGCGCCCCCCCCAGTCCCCCAACTTTATATTATTGTGATGTCTGATTATTACTGCGCCCCCCCATCCCACCAACCTTGTATTATTGTAATGTCTGATTATTGCTGTCCTACAAATTATTGCTGTTATGTCCCACAAATGTCGTCCAAAACACATAATTTCTCAAAAATTTTCTGATTGGCTGCGCCCCCCCCCCCCCCCTCCCTAGCCAACCAACTTTATATTATTGTGATGTCTGATTATTACTGCCCTACTAATTTCTTTAATGCCTAATGTCGTCTGAATCACCCTATTTCTCAAAATTTTTCCGGGGGGTGCGGTGCGCCCCCGGCCCCCTAGCCTCCCAACTTTGTATTAATGTGATGTCTGATTATTACTGTCCTACAAATTTCTTTAATGCCAAATGTCGTCTAAAACACATTATTTCTCAAAAATTTTCTGGGGGGCTGCGCCCCCCCCCGGCCCCCAACTTTATATTATTGTGATGTCTGATTATTACTTTCCCCAAATTTCTTTAATGCCAAATGCCGTTTTAATCACCCTATTTCTCAAAAATTTTCCTGGGGGTTCGCTCCCCTTGCCCACCAACTTTATATTAATCTGATGTATGATTATTGCTGTCCTACAAATTTCTTTAATGCCAAATGTCGTCTGAATCACCCTATTTCTCAAAAATTTTCCGAAGGCCAGGGCTGCGCCTCCCTAGCCCCCCAACTCTGTATTAATGTGATGTCTGATTATTACTGTCCTACAAATTTCTTTAATGCCAAATGTCGTCTAAAACACAAAATTTCTCAAAAATTTTCTGGGGGGCTGCGCCTTCCCCCCTCCCTAGCCAACCAAACGAGCTTCGCCCCAGCTACGTGTCGTGTCGGGCTACGTGCCCAGAATCGAAAAAACTTAATCTTTAAATGAATAACGGAACCTTCTTTATGAAGTCACGAGATGATAATATAATTGGGAGGCAAAGTGGGTATCGGGCTTGGGGCTCATAATGCCCAAAATTTGGCCGCTGTCGAGTGGGTCTGCCTAAAATTCACAGATCTAGCTATGGGTCTGAGACATTTGTAAAAAAAAAACCTTAATTGAAAGTGACACTGCACTTTTCACATGAGAATTGAGAATGGCACGTAAGGTATGAAAATATGGGAGAAAATATGGGAGAAAATTCGAATAATTTAAACTTATAGTCTCTGATAATGATGACATTTGTTTTAGAGCGATCATATCAAATCTAGACGCATCATAAGTGATACATACCACAGTTTGTACATAAAATAAGAATGAAAGATATCTTATTAACAATGTTGACTTAGACTAACTAAGCTTATAATATAAGTATGAGATAATAATATCTTAACTAATTAATTCAATTAAATAATTAATTAATTAATTTTACCCTCCGCTGGTAGTTTGAAGCTGATGGAGAGGACTGCTGGTAACAAATACAACAACACTACACACCTCATCCTATTAATAGAAGTTAATTAGCTAATTAGTCAATTAATTTGAAATGTTGAAATACATTTTGTTGTAAGTTTCTGAGACTGATTTCAATGTTTGATAGTAAGACCATTGAATAGAAGGTCAAAACATTTAAACAGCAACAAATAATGGTTATGTAATAACTCTAATAAATGTTAAAAATACATCAAAGACAATAAGTTAGCAACAAACAAACAAGGAAGCAAGGAACCCCTACCTACAAAACCATATAACTGAAACAAAAATGCCGAGTTTTGTTACCGACTTGTTCAATCATAGATGTCAAAACATTTTCAAAAACAGAAAAATTAAACGTGCACTATAAAAACTTAAGTAGTTGTAACTGAAGCAAAGCATAAAATTATCAGTCATAACAGTGACTAAAAAATGGAAAAAAAACCAAAAATCTTCAGGATCTACCATAACCCCTAATATGACGTCACAACTCACATCGTGACGCCACAACTCATAACATGACGTCACAGATCACATAATCACATCTACAGCTCGTCAGATTTCCCGGATTTCTTGTTACAGTGCTTTTCAAAGTATTCAAGTTTACCGTCAGGATCTGGTTTAAGGGTATCTTTACCGGGTGTCCAATTAGCTGGGCATACTTCACCGTGTTGGTCGGTGTACTGGAATGCTTGTACCAACCTGAGGTAATTAAATAATTAATTATTTAATTAATTGGTTGATAAATTGATTTTACAATAAAACAATCAACCTGAAGCTGTTAATGAATTAATTGATTAATAAGTTGTATACATTGCATTTAGATATCGTTTACCAAATAATCAAAACTGAATGTAAACCTGAGGGTTTCGTCAACACTTCTTCCAACTGGTAAATCATTCATTGTTATCTGACGTAGAATTCCTGAAATAGTTGTTTCGTCAGACCAAGGCCAGATACAAGAAAACTTGATAAAAACATGCTTTAAAATACGAAAAATTTGCCCAATCTACGATTTGTCCTTCAGTTCGGAACAAAAAAGAGCAAATAAAATGCTTTCTATTTAATATGTCATCGTTTACATAATATTCGACACGATTTGCACAATTCTCTCTGTAACGTACCGTATCCTTGTCTATGGAACAAGTCCGGAACAAGAACGAATACCAATTAAAATGCTATTTTATTGAAGTAATATGTTATAATCTCTGCCACATACCTTTGTCGTCTATGATGAATAGTCCCCTGAGAGTGTGGCCAGCATCCTCCAACAATACTCCGTAATCACGTGATATCTGTCTGGTTAGATCTGATACTATCGCGATATCCATCTCTCCCAACCCACCTGAACATGCCGTGATATCAGAATGTACTTTTACATAACATTCCGTGATATCAGAATATACTTTTACAGAACATTCTGTGCTATCAGAATGTACTTTTACATAACATTCCGTGATATCAGAATGTACTATTACAGAACATTCTGTGCTATCAGAATGTACTTTTACAGAACATTCTGTGTTATCAGAATGTACTTTTACAACTATAAGACTGGTTTGTTTCTTTATAATTGTTATATCTAACCAGATATCAATTCAAACTAAGCACAACGGGAGCTTATGTACCAAGACACTGATCTTTAAAGCTTTAACAGGGAATACAATAACTAGAAGAAGTGGGAGCTGTGAAGCAAAAATAAACCAAAAATAAGTTGCTTAATGTAAGAACAGTTAGTAATATATAACTTGTTTAGGGTCGTTGTATAATCAGATTTGGCAGAAAATTATGACGATAATTATGGTGATAATTACGGCGGTAATTATGGCGCTGAACAAACAGTAAGTGTAAAGTTAAAGTTACCTTTTGATCTAGGAGTGTTGATAAAAGCCAGATGAGTAAACTTAGAGTCTACAGATGCTGCGATTACCTGTGGGGAACGATACACGTTAATTGATATTTATAAATTGGTTTTAATTTCCCCAACAAACGGAAAAGTTAGACAAAGAATGGTAATCAAGCAAAAAGTTGGTTGTATCATAACTATGATTAAATTAACTACCTAATTACATAATTAAATAATTAACAAAACTGTTCTAGTGTTCTTACCTCGGTGTTAATCTTGGTGAACTCGCTGAGTCTGTCATTAAAAGCGATTATCTCAGTCGGGCACACGAAGGTGAAGTCAAGAGGGTAAAAGAAGAGAACCACGTATTTACCTGTGGAATAGAATGTTAAGTATTTTTATTTTTATTTCACGTTCTTACTTTTGTTTTACTTTTATTCTTTTTTCCACAAGTGGACTATCAAGGATGATATGAGTAGCAGAACTTTAGATTACCTAAAAGTAACACTTAACATGTTATTTGTCCACTGCTTATTATAATGATATTACTTAAAACTCAGTAAATCAACAACGCTCCACAAATTAAACAATCCACACCCACCTTTGTAAGAAGAAAGTGTGATATCCTCAAACTTTCCCTTGACTACAGCAGGGGCAGTAAAGTCAGGTGCTGGTTTCATAATCCTAGCTTTTACGACTCCCAGAGCGTGGTCGTACCCCTGAGATAAAACATGCCATTTATCTTAACTGTAACATGTTTTTCATATTGTCAACTTTGAATATTGCTCTCATGAAACTCCACAATCATGACTGCACCAAAGAACCAAACCTTTTGAAACCAGTAATATCATTACATAATACAACATATGATTTGAGTAAGTGACACTGGAGAAGTATCACAAACCTTAGGTCCATACCCAAAGAAGCCATTCATAGGACACGCTTCATCAGAAGCAAATGCTGCCCCAACAAGAGCTAGCAGTACTACTGTCAACATAGTTCCTATCAGGAGATAACGGGTTAGTGATAATAGGATTGATAAAGATCTGGATGCTGGTGGACCATATTATTTCTGAAACGTAATATTAACAAGTTTCCAGCCTTGACCAATTAAAGCTTACAATCACTGTCTTGTGTTAAAACAAATGGTCTGAGCTAGCACAATTAGCATGTAAAATCTGGTGCAGTATCTCCAGATACATTTCAAAGACTCCGCTCAAAATATTGATTTACAGTGGCAAGCACTTTGTAGAAATGATGTGGAAATAAAACCATTCAAGTGTAAATCAATGCACTCCCGATTAATGTATAAAAACAATAATGAGGGGGAGGTGCACTGCCATTTCTGCTGTTACCATTATTCGCACTTGTTAAATAAATAGATGAACAACTGTGACCCCCCTCCTAAAAATTCGAAATAACGTTTATTACTTAGAATATCGAGTGCAGCCTGAACAATTTTGCTTCGCATTATTTTAAATTTGTCATCAATAATAATCACAACTGACTGTGCGTGTGCATGCTAAAAATTTGTCATTGATTGATCTTATCATTGATTTATAATGCTTCATTTTCTACATGACTCTTCACCACAATGTACATTGGCTTTGCATGATCTTGTGGGATTTCTTTACAAATAGTAATAAGCTTCAATTTAATGATCAGGTTGTCCTGTTTGATTCTTATCATACTTAGTGCTCAGTTGAAGTCGAATATTTATATTGACATACTTTATATGATAACTTTTATGTTGTTACAAGTGAATGGGCATTAGATAACAATGCTGTTTTGTTTAATAGTCAGTGCAATTAGCATGCCGTGTGCATTTATCATGCTTGTTAATTTCTTAAGTTTTATAATTAGAACTATAATCATAATCAAATTAAAATAGCAAATTACACAATGGCATAATTGAATAATTTAAGTATAGCTATGATGCTGTGAATCTAAAGCAGTGTTATAAATTACCCTGGTATACTACCAGAGCTTCTGTTTCTACATAAAAAGATTTGTGTGTAATTTTGGTATGCAACAATCTATAATCTGTCATTTTGAAAATAAGGATACTGAAGGGCAAATATCTACTTATTCATTTCTAAGATGGCAAATCCTACATCGAAAGTGGAACTGAAAAACGTGAAGCTACCACCAAGACTAAACATACCAGGTAATTTTGTTATACACCATAATTATAATCCTCAGCATTTTTTCCATTGACACCCTTTTGTAAAAAGGCAATAGTGAAAAGTTACAAATAGTCGTTTTTGTAGAAAAAGAGGGATTTTGGAGAACAAGGTAGGTGGGTTTAAATATGTTGGAAAACTTGTTGGTTTTAGGCGGGACTTCATGAGATGTACAATTACATTCTTTTGGGTGATTCCACACTCTGTACTGGAATATTTTGATTGACAGTGATTAAATTGATCAAAATTAATTGATAATCTTAATTTGAAAATTGGGAAAGTTTTCTGGTGCTATGGTTCCTTGGCTTGAAAAAACACCTGGGCTTGTTCAATGATTAAGCTGTGCAAATATTGCTTGTTTCACAATGGTAAATCTTATAATTAGATCAAAATTTAATTACACCAGAGAAATTTGGAGAAATTTTACCCACTTAAACAAAGTTAACAAGATAAAATTTTAATTTTTCTATATTTTACAGCACTTCAGAAGCCAAAGCGAAAGCAGACCTTATACACCTACCCAATAAAAAGTGCACCAACTGTTAGGAATCTTATTTATAGTGATCAAGAGGTATTCCATTATATTTGAATGTCTAAAACTTGCTTTTACCTGTGGCACTATAATGGCCGTACGTAGAGTAACTATTATGACCAACCAGATGTAAAATAATCACAGTCGTTGTTACAGAGAAATATTATTTACAGGAACGAGAATTTGTTCTAGCAGGAACGGGACACGTGAGTTGTCATTCGCAACAAAAGTTTATGATACCAAATAAACCAAGAGAAAAACTACCTAAAGAAAAACCTACCCTGTTTGAAACTTATCATGCTAAGCCACCCTCTCAATACAGGCATGTGTCAAACAAATAATTAATTATTGCACATGTTTGTCACAATGACCATATATAAATGACTCAGTACAAAACATTTGACTCAATTCGATAGTGAAATTAATAATTAATGATAACACTAAACATCTCATTTTCTAGAAGAGAAAACGATGTCAACTGTCTAAGGGAGCAACCTCATTACCACGACCCTGGACATATGAACAACAACCGAATTCCCCACTGGTGGTGGACAACACAAAGAAATAGAAAGCAAGAAAGAATCTTCAATGAATGGCTGAAATTTTAAATCTCGAAGTTATCTTTATCTTATTCATGGTTTTAGCACACGCAAGAAAATATAATAGTAAAAGTACCAATTTACTTTGCCTCTGCTGCTGGCAAATATACATTTTGTAAACAAATTTTACTATTCCAATAAAAATTGGCATGATATTGAAACTTATATTGTAATGTTCCAGATAAAAACAAAGGATGCTTTTCATATCATATATTTAATTTTGTTTGACAAAGCCTTTTTGAACATTTATTGCATTGAAACATAAATAAGCATAATTATGCGCGCAGTATGTCAAAGTAACGAAGTCCTCTAAATGCAATTTATGCTTTAAATTTGTAGCATACTTTGTGTTTTAAATACTTACAATAATATAATAATGATATTGCCTATAATTATATTTTATATCGTATATAATACTTTGATGAATTCGCCGCTTCGACGCACCACAAACTGCTTCGCAGAGCAACGATCTCGATGGGTTGACATCGTCAATCACATATAATACCACAAAGATTTTGAGGACTTCGCCGCTTCGACGCGCCGCGCAAACTAGCATTCTTGCTTCGGATCGAAGAAGACAAGATCGTTGCTTCGCAAAGCAACGACCTGGAAGGGTTGACATCGTCAGTCAACACATTAACAGGTGATACTCGTAAAATATTTGTTCCAGGCCATATTTATCCAGGACCGTCAACGAGTCCAACTCGGCGCGCGTCCAGGTAGGTTGTAAATCTACAACACTATGCGTGAATTTGACTCGTCTACGGTCTAATAATTGGAACAAATATTTTACGAGTATCACCCGTTAAAACCCTTTTAGGTTTTTGATCGTTGCTAGCAGAGCAACGACATTGCTACATGCTAGTTTGCGCGGCGCGGCGAATCCCTCCAAATGATATATATATATATACATATATTTCATTGCTGAACTTCTACACAATAAAAAAAGCGGTTTTGACTATATATTTAGGCTGAGCATCGCCCAGTATTCACAGCTCGGCGAGGCCCAGTGTTGTAGCGCGATGCACTACTGGGTCGCGCGCGCATCAGATAATGCTTCTCGCAACCACCGTATGCAGATCGGCGAGATGCGAAGGATTGACATCGTGAATCAAGGCCCAGTGGTGCATTTTGCCGATCTAACAAAGATTTGGTTGTGAGAACAGATATGAGAGATAAGAGAAGCATCCTTTGATGCGCGGCGCGACCCAATAGTGCATCACGCTATACTACAACTGACAACGTTGTTTAAAGCGAAACAATTGCTCTAACCAGAGCCCTCTCATTTGCAGTAGCGCGCGACCGCCGTGAAACAAGCACGTCACGCAGTACGCGTAGACACATGGCTATGTGAAGCGAATTAACAATGCATGACATTTAACAATTGACAATTATGTAATGGATGCAATGTGAATTTGCAAAGCGACGTCGTCCTCCAACTAAAAAGTATACTACGTGATGTGACTGTTTCACAAGTGAAGTCTGAGGTTGTTTGATTTTGAATGATTCTTAATTTAAATTGGTCAATATATAGTACATTAACTCTTAGCTAAATTGTGAATCTTGCATTTAAATTTTTAAGGTTTGCTGATGTGTTTTGAGATTTTTAAAAATCGAGCGCTTATGAAAATATTCTGAAACCAAATCATTTAAGTAAAACAAAATTTTTTAAAGTAAAACAAAATTTAAATTTTATTGCCATTACAATGAATAATGATATCATAATAAATATAAGTAGACATCCGATAATAAACTCGTTACTTCCAGTAGGAAAGAAAAAAAAGAAAAAAAATTTTTATTTACCACAAACAACAAAACAATCAATACATAATGTTATATTCATAAATAAATTCAAATTTCAATTTCAAACACATATACAGTACGCCGCGCACACAGCCACAATTTTCAATTGTTCAGAAATTCGTAGGTCAGCTGTAGGCGCCGCGCACAGGATTTATTTAATTGTTATCTTACAATTACATGTCGCATTTCTTAATTACTAGAGCCAAAATTTCAGAAGCAAAATAATTTAAAACATATTTCTGTCGTTCACGCAGTACAGGCCGTGAGCACTGCGATCTAATTAATAGATCGAAAAATAATAATGGAGAAATTCCAAAAACCGCGCGCTCGTTATTTGTGATTAAATTGAGTGCTATTATATGCACGCCTCTGTGAACAGCAGTACCGCTCAAGCATGAAGTACTAAGCGGTACGCAGTTCTGCGTGAGGCGTAGACATTTGTAGCACACGTTTCATTCATTCAACTAATCAATTATGTGACATGTAATTATATTAAAGCAAAAAGAATATTAATTTTAGTAATAATTGACGTAAACATATGTGATATGTGTTTAAATAACATTTATAATCTAGCGAGTTACCAATAATATAATACTATTTGTTTGTATTATTGATTATATATGTTTACACTAGCCTATATTATGATGGAGATATACATTATATAATTGCTCCAATATTCAACACTGCTAAACAACAAATACCTACTCGCCCATCGATGAAGCAGTCGCCAAAACAAAGCTCAAAGTTAATATACCTTCGTACTTCGTTTTGGAAACTGTAGAATGCCAGTACAACCCAAGATGTCAGCCGACGCGACTTACAAAATAAAGAAAGCTAGCATGTTATGTTCATTGTTCATAGTTTTTCTAACGAGCATGCTTAGCACTTAGGCTGTACGGAAATAGCTTTAATTCTTCGTCATATTAAAAACTTTACATCATTTTTGAGATACAAAAATAAATTTTAAAATAAATAACTCTTTTGCTGTTTAGGCGCGGCACCGCGCTTGACCCACATGCTATACAGTGTGTAGCAACACCAAACACAGCGCTGAAAACAGAAGCTGAATGAGCTATAACCTATAAGCGGTGCGTGCGCCGCGCCTAAACCTAAAACCATAAACTTTAAATATTGTCAAGATATTAAACGAGTTTTGCAAAATAATATAGCATGCTGACTTCGTAGGATATTACAATTATACCAGTGCCAGTTCCAAATGTGAGTCAGCGCTTAAACCAAAAGCAGTTGGCAAAAGGAGCCAGTTGCCTGCAAGAGCTTTACTAGCACCCGATTTACCACTTTTGGAGCACAAACTCAAACCTAAAACCGGCCAAGCACAAAAATATGTTATCGCCACGATTGGGTGGATTGATTCCCAGAATATTTATCAGCACGCGGCACTAATAATATATGAAGTTCATTATCGAATTTTAGATATGCCCTAGATCGTTTAACACATATATAAAAGGTTATTAAAGATTAATTAATGTTTGGTTCGTATATAAATCGATATTAATCAATTATTTAAAATAGTATTTGTGTTTGTTATTATTAACTATTGAGTTGCGTTCGATTTAAATATTAAAACATTACTACAATACATTTCACAAAACAAAACGACGGGGACACAGAAAGGAGAAGGACAACACATCACACGTAAGGAAACTGCTGCTGTTGACGAGTATCTGATTATATTAATTATGGGTCTTTTGTTCATTAAAATAAGTGTGATCATACTTCTAGAGTATATTGGGCTGACACAGTTGCTGCAAGGTTAACATTGGGGTCCAAAACCGGGAGTGTGATACAACTTAATTTCGCGTTACGTAGTAAGAGATACAAAATATAAAATATAAGTCACTGTAGGTTCACGGATATAGCGCGGCTTCATTTCATTATTCTGGCGCAATAAATCACGCTGGGTAATGAAATGATAGAGTTATACAATATTTAAGTTTCGCGCGCTACGTTTACACAATATATTTGTGAGTCCGTCCCACGTTCCAGACGAACACTCCAGACAAGTCCAGACACCAGTGTAAAGCGGATGAGCTGATCAGTGTTTTGTGTTATATGCGTGAATATATAGTTTCTATGTTTGACTGTGGTGTGTATTGTGTGTGTTATTTTGTGTGTGTAGTATGAAATCTATATGGACTAGTTTGTGTGTTCTTAATTATAGGCACATGTCATTTCCATCAAAGTTGAGTTCTGACCATTCATCAGTGTTTCCAGCTTTTTGAGCATTGAGTAGCATAGTTTTAATGCGACCTTTAACAAGTGCAATTGGGGACGAGAAGTCAATCTTACTAGAAGGTTTAAGGAATTTATTCCACATATTCGAGGTTTTATATACAAACAAATTGGTTGCAGCGGGGTTAATAAAGTAGTTATCAAGTCGGGGTGACTTTTGAAATAAATTGTACATCGGTATTGGAGTGTGAAGTTTGAGTATTTTAAACATTTCAAGTAGACAGTGGTACTTATACAAATTATGCACGCAGAGTATTTTGTTTCTGCTGAGAAGGGGTTTACTTGATTCTCGTTTATAGAAGTCGGCTCCGAGTTTTTGGGATCCAATTGGGCGGGTTCTAGCACATGTTTTGAACTTATTACTGTATGCCTCTTGATCACCAAATAGAATACGAGTGCACTTTTTTTGAATTTTAAATATTGGTTCAAGCCTATTGTTCGATATGCCTCCCCACACTGAGATCCCATATCCTAGATGAGATTCGAAGAGGGTGTGGTAGAGGTCATTATACAGCTCTTTAGGTATAAATCTTCTCATACGGCAGAGTTTACCGACTTCACACTTTAATTTAGAACTAAGATATGCAGTATGAGGTTTCCAGTTAAGGTTTTTATCTATAATAACGCCGAGGAATTTAGTTTCATCAACACGTTTAATGACTG